AACACTCGCGATGTAGAATGCACACACACTCGGTACTTTCCCAAATTTTGATCATGTCTTTTCATTATCAATGTTATTCTATTTAGTTGCTTCAAGTAGTAAATTCAATATATATATATATATATTATAGTAAATATGTATATATATATATGTATATAACCCAAAAATTGAGATGGCTCAGTTATTTTTATTACCGGGAATCAGTCACACATTTGGTTGTTGTCTGCATAATTGAAGGTTGTTTTTCCCTTTACCGGACTTTTTTTTATTGCTAATTTGTCATAACTTATTTGTTGATTGATCTTGGACTTTTAAAAATTAGTAAATGCGTGTTGAGCCCCTTGTGACGGTTTCTTCAACAATGTCTAACTTGTTTACTTTTTGCTTATTACTTGGTTTATGTACTCCTATCTGTGTTGTGGAGATACAATGATTAGTTGAAGTTTGATTGTTGAATTATCAATTCTTTTTCTTCTTCTTATTGTTGGTTGCTTATTGACTAGATCAAATGGAATTTTAATGCTAAGGCATGGATATCTTAGAGAGGCGTGTGCACTGAACACGTGTTGAGAGATTCACAAACGTGTCTTGACTCTTGACACAATTTTAGTGTGGCTTTAATTTAAAAATATGATTTTTACTTTTAAAATTGATGCTTGATGCTATAGTAAAATTTAATAGGAACAAGTGTGCCACACAATTCAAGTACTGGAGGAATCACTTTTTGCAAAATAATTTTTGAGTCTCATAAGGATAGTCAGGCACACCTGACTGTTCCTTCTTTTTTTCTTTCTTTTGGTTTAAAAACCCTAAAAAGAGACATTTTTTAGTCTCAGAAGGATAGTCAGGCACACCTGACTTTTCCTTCTTTTTTTCTTTCTTTTGGTTTCCAAACCCTAAAAAGAGACATTTTTCGCAACGTAATAAAAATGGGACTTTTATGTTTAGCCAAAAAGGAGCCGTTTGTCTTGTTGAAAAGAAGGGGAAAAAAAAAACTAATATGATAGCGAGAGGTGAACGATGCTATAATCCCTACATCATGACACCGAAACCCTTTGTTGCAAAGAGTTGCCTTGACGATCAGATGTGCATCTTCTTCTCTCTTTTTCTTTGTCTACTTCTCTTTCTCATTCTTTTTTTTCCCCTTTGTCTGAATGTTGTCCTAAACTTTTTTTTCTTCTTTTGCTAGCCCTCTCTCTCTCTCTCTCTTTAATCTTCTTCGAATGCTTTCCTAAATTATTTCCTGCTGTTTTTTTTTGGTGCTCTGTTTTCTTTTAACAGTTTTTCAATTGTGTGCCTCCCCTTCTGCCTTGCCATGGGCCTTTTAACACTCTATAGGTAACCATAAAAGAGGATTTTTGTAATTTTTTTTTTTTTGGGGATTTGCTTTTTTCTTTTGGGCCCCTCACCCCTGTAATCCATATTCTCTTCATGCTTATTAGCCAATTCCGCCCACAAGATGGAACATAATGAAATAGATTTGATGATGAATGTTAACAGTTCATGATTGTTTTACTGAAATTTAAAAACAAATATTTAAATTAAGTTAAATTTAAAACAGAATCCATTGTTAAATGTTCATAATAATTTCTTAATCTGATAGGTGGATGAAAAAAATACGAAAACTTTAAGGAAAACTGAGTGAGATTTAAAATCCCAACAATATCTTTCTTTTTCTCTTGCTAAAATTCAAGCCTTTTCACTAATTATTTGAGATATGTTTTTGTAGTGTATGTAACCCTAGTCCAAGTGTAGAAAGATTTTAAACAACTCTAGCCAGTTTTAGATAAGTTTTGAAACCATCAGGACAAGTTTCATTTATTTATTTTTATTTTGTATGTTCTATTTTAGAAGGTAACAATTAGGACAAGTTTTCCAACTCAGAAACTTTTTCGTTTTGGATTTAATTACTGGTTCTCAAACACTAGTAGTGAAAATGATTATATGTGTTTAGTTCACCGTGATTCTGTGTCTTGGTGCTCAAAAGTGCTCAAGTGATCACTGTTTCGTACAAAATCTCGCTTTTCAACATTTTAAGCATGCTTTTGGTTTTTAGAAAACATTTATACTAATAGAATGTACTGAGTAATAGGACATCCATACGTCACTTAGTCCCTAGGATTATCTATCTTGTCCTTTGGTGGTAGTATAATATATACTTGTTTTATGTAGATAAGTTTAATATAACAAAAGGCAAAAACATATTTGCCTGATATATATAGTCTAGAGAATCGGATATTTTCAAATATGACCAGTGTTTTCTGCTCCAGGCTGTGTTAACCTGAGCCTTCACCAGGGCCATATATATGGTTATATGCTCTGGAGTATTTAACATGCCTACTATATACGCATGGTTAAATATTTTGAGTCAACACTGAATAGTAACAGTGTACTCTTTGTAATTTGTATATTTCTTTCTATTTTCTTTGCAAAAATGTTATCATAATAGTATAACAGTGCTCTTAGAGGGAGAGTGTTGTCTCAGCTGTTAATTAGGTTGTCAGGGTCATCTTTTGGTCAATTTATAAGTTAAACAAAGAAAAAGGACCAGGTCATAGCTACCACTTCTGCCTATCACCTCCAAAGATTTACCTCCTCAATATTTAGAATGAACGAAACATCTCTTTATGAAAAGTATAAAATTTCAATCCGTCCTGGTTCTTTCTTATGAATGCTCTCAGGCAAAAGCCATTCAAACATGATCATGGGTTTGAGCTATACCCAAAGCTTGAACGAAGCATTACCTTACGAGCATGGTTCTCTGCTGGACTTGAGCTTCAAGAATGTCATTTTTTAGGCAATATGTAGGATTAAATTCTTTTATTATCTTGAATGCCAACTGACATTTGATTGCAGTAATTGATTCGGGATTCACGAAGACATGGATAAGAGACAAACTGTCTCTCTACATGCAATATAATGTGTTTATGCTTGTATAATCTGATGATATAAATGCTTATTTTTGTGTGATGATTTAAATGTTTTTTTTTTTTTGGTCAACTTATGCGGGTTTGTCTGTCTCTGTTGATAGCCCCTCACAGATGGCGTTGAGGAGGGCACATGGGGCAGTAGTGACAGCTCCAACATAATGAAGTAGATGAAAATTGTGTAGGAAGGTTTACAGTATCTATGACTGAGACATGTAAATATGCTTTTTTGGAGCCTAAACTAAATGTGGTTGCTTGCGGATGAAGATGTTATTGTATGCTAAAATCTAAATACATTTCGGACAGAAGTTTCATACTATTTTTGTTTAGCAGATGATGTTATTGTATGTTCCAATTACTTTACCATGCCTTTAGTTATTGGTTTGTCCATTTCTATTTTTGACAGCGTCCCCAGTTTTATTTTATCTCCATATTTCTTGTGCATCGTCCCATTTTTGTGTATGATATATTTCATGTACCTTGTCATACCTTCCACAATCTTTTCTACATGCCCATTAAAAGTTTCCTCCAGAATTTTTCTCGATATAATTTATTCCCTGAATAATCCTATGTATAATTTAGCTATGCCCCTTGTACCTCTTCCCGGAACTAAATTTAGACGACTATGACTGACGACAATGATGATGAGACTGCTTCGGACGATGATAAGCTTGTTGTTGGTGATCCTTCATCGTCCCCTTTTTGTGTATGTCTTTCTCTCTGTGTATCTAGTATAATCACTAATAGAATAGAGGGGAAATGTTGAAGGTGTGTGGTGAGTGGGTAAGATGATGGATTTGGACACAAAATTCCCTTCCAAGTATAAAATTTTTCTAAATCGCCCAAGTTAATATTTAGCGTTAATTTCACTGACAATCTCTCAAATTTGGTTAAGTATCACCCTCAAAACATATTTCGAAATTAATTATAATTCAGACCCCAATTTCCTTTTTCCTTACTTTATCCTTTTTAAAAGGTGCAAAATCACAATTTTGTCAGTGTATTTTAAAGGTAATAGCTATAATTACATATTATTAATTATAAATGATGCTTTGTGATACGATTATTGAATTGATCATTGGATCTCTCCTCTTTGAAAACCATAAAAAGGTTTATTATATAAAATAAATATAATTAAAAAAAAAACCACTTCGAAGTTTCTTCGTATTTTGTGTGATTGAATGAAAGGAAAGGTGGGGGAAAAAAAAAAAAGTGACCTGCAAATATGAAGAGAATGTTTATATTTGACAACCACACATTCATATGAATTGATAAAATCATAAAATTAACACAATCTATTAAGGGGAGACTAATTGACCTTTTGACACTCCATTTTTCAATCATATTGCAGATTGATAAAATGTTCAACTTTTTCTATACCGATAAGCACAACCCATCAAGGTATACTAATGAATAAATATAAAGATAAAAAATAAATAAAGATATACCTAAGAAAAATAAGAACACTATTTTCAAAAAACTAAAAAGACAATTGTTTGAAAATAGACAAAAAAAATTTTACTGAGTTTTCAAAAACATTTCTTAGAAATTATAAATTCAGTTATGAAAAAACAGTTATTTTTTAACCGAACCAAACAGACAATTTTTCCATTATTTCATTCTATTTCCTCCCATGGCTTGTATATTTTTAAAGAGAGCAATTTAACATGAGGATGCATTATTTTCCCTTTAAAGAATATAGAAACAGTGCTTAAGAGGTTAAACCATCATTCCTGAATAATTTCTCTCTCATCTTCTCATTTCTAATAGAAGGATAAACAATAGTAATGTTTAAGAGGGTTACAATATGATTCCTCATCCATCTTTTATTCCATTGTTTCTCTTTCCATTCCTTTTCCTTCCAATTCCTGAAAGCAGTGAAATTCGATGATAATTGGACTTGCAACAAAAAATGAACATATCCAATTGATGTACACTTTTCATTGTGCAGCCAAACATATGATGTACTCCACAAAATTGTGATATTTACCACTTATTCTAAAAGAATAACACACCGAAATTTTGGAAACTAAATATTTGAACAAACTATAATAACTACTACTATTAACAGTATAGAAGAACAGAACCATAATTTCAATTTTATCCACCTAAAATAACAAGCGAATGGGTTCTAAAATGCATAGGAATTAGTTCATGTGTATGCTTAATTCCATACACAGCAGTTTAAACTTTTTTGTCACAATAGAATATCCCCATTACCAGTTCACCACTATATATGGTGAGCTCAATGTGGCTAGCAACCTATAAAGAAAGGCACAACGGCCTACCAACTATTTTACTACATCTCAGCCTCACAATTCAAATAAAAACATTCCGCTAGTCCTAAGTACTGGAGTTATCCAAGGAAGTTCATGATCACCAAATGGAGCACCAAATTGCAGAGAACAAAATCTGCAAAAGCACGTTCCGGTGGTAAATCCTGCAATTTGATGAAAGAGATGTCAATAATGAGACGTGCATTGTATACCACAGGGAAATCTTCCTTTCTTCAAAAGCAAACCCACTCCCCCTCCCCAAAAAAATTAACAATAATAAAAAGTGGTGGGCTTGACTTCATGCAATTGAATTCACTGACTTCATTTTTTCCCTTTTTCCAGGAAAATAAACTACATATATACACATATACAACACACATTTGGTAAGTACAACTCTATGCTCCATGCGTACATTTGGTTGCAAAGAAGACATAGGAAGCAAAGAAACAAATTGGGAAATCTTATGACTGTCCAGGATTGTAAATCTTGTTGTGCTACTTTGAATTTATTTTTCCCCAGCTCCATAGGCAACTAAATGGTGTGTGTGAACAGACACACACAAGCACATATATATGTACAAAAAAAAAAAAAAAAAAAAAAAAGAAAAAAAAAAAAAGGAAGAAGAATACAAATGGAAGGAGAGCTCTTCACTAAACAACTTGCCTTGAATTCCTTGTTCTCTTTGTTCACTTGAATACGGAGACAAACTGTGGCCAAAGAAACCAATCAGTCCTATTACCAAGATGTAACATTAATTATTTCCACAAGAACAATCACATACCAGCAAGGACTGCTGTCCCTACACAAGAAAGTACTCCTGAGAGGAAAGAGTTGAATGGGAATGATCCAACGATGGCCATGTAAACTACCTGTCCAACAGTAATGTCAGTCACAATGGGAAAGAAATGGTAGTCTGCAAATGAATAAATTTTCAACAAGCTACAGTTCTAAACTAGTATTTGGATAACCTTTGGGAACTGCATTGATCTATCAATTACTGACATTACGGGTCATTGCCTGATGTAATGTCAAAAGCTCGGATTGATAAGGTTGGGGACACAAGTTCGAGTGTCAGAGCAACTACCTTTCGCAAAATGATGCCATAAGTTTGTCACCAATCTTCCTCTCCCGATAATAGGAGGGACATACACTAGGAAATGCACTTTTTATTAAGCACTGACATTCTATAAATTCTAAAAGTGACTCGTGTTTCTATCATCATTTGGCAATTAATGATTATGGTGCTGACCATTATTACATTGGTAACTTGTGCAATGCACTAAAGTAACCACAATAGTTAGAGTAAATGAATTAGTAAATAAGAATCAAAGATGCAAGGATGAAGATAGAGAGAGTGAGAGAACACAAGCAATGGAAACATGACTTGTTTGGTTTAATTTTCTGAAAACAGTACCCAAAAACTTTAAAAACTAAAAACTATAAAAATATATATATATAAATTATAAATAAATAAAAACTGTTTTCAGAAAGACCGTTATGTTAAAACAGGTGTTTTTTTTCTTTTTAACCAAGTTTTAAGAAAACTGTCAAATGAACACTTCTTGTACTGTTTTCTGAAGACGAAAATAGAAATGTTCTAAGAAAACTAAACCAACAGGCCAGCCAATATAAAAAACCAGCTCCAATAATAACAACAGTGAGTCAAAAACAAGTAAATTTAAAGAGTGCTACTTTATTTTTTTGTTCTTTTTGTAATTCAAATTCTATTTAGCTTTCCCTGTGACAGAATGTGAGAAATCTGTTTTTGTCTAACTTTGTTTATCTCAAGGGGGGACCAAAAATTGTCAAACTTGTTTGGTCATTTGCTGTCTCCCGTTGGTTGATTTTCTTCAAGGAGACTCCTTGCCCATGAAATTAGAAATACCTCACCGAATTAATAGACTTTCCACATTTACTTTGATTAGCCTGATTACCATACAACATATTAATTAGCTTCTCTTCCACATATTACATAACTTGGATGGTAAAAGACTTCTACTTTCTCTTATGTTTAAACCTTAAATGCGGCTAAAATATAATATAGGCACACCAAACTTGCCCAACACCAGTCCTTATGAGAGTTCAAGTTGAAATTGACTTTCAAGATCCAAAGGCTTCCCCAAATTTAAGTTGGATAAGAAGAAGGTGAGCACCATAACATGCTCTTGTTTGAAGTATTGGACTACATAAAATTGTGGCAGATATCTACAGCCTACGTTACATGGACTCTTCAAAAGTAGTGAAGTACCCGTGTCGGACACCTATTACTCGGACATGGGTATGGGATACGCGTGTGGCACTTTTGGTTAGACATATACTTAAAAAACATATCCAATCATTCAAATATATTATATTATTACTTTAAAATGAGTTAAATGCGTATATTGAATATTTTATTAGATAAAAACATTACTTTACTCTAGAAAATAAAATAAAATAATTAATAAAATGCATATTTAGCAGCGTTCGTGTATCCTTCTGTTTGGAGATTTGACACGTCCAACACATGGATGCATACCTGTGTCCAACGCACGTACCCAAGCCCATGTAACATAGTCTACAACCTAATAGAAAAGGGCGCAGGATCCCAAAGAACCTCAAGAAATAGTAGTTTTGACTTACAAGATGAAAAACAATACGGAAAAGCAAGGAAAATATCCAGATAAGACCTGCCTCAATCATCTAAAATATAATTTGAGTAGTCATAAAGATGTTCGAGATGGAAGAGTAGTTCTCATGTGAGGTCAAACAATATAAATGAGGGTATGACAGCATAGTTCTAACCATGATGGGTAGCTTTTATTGATGCTAAGCCTCATTATTCATCTATGGGTTCATCGGAAACCACTAGAGCTAATTATAACTACCTCATCGCATCTCAAATGTAACTATACAAGCCTATCCCAATCTTACCACATTTTAGAGGATGTGGTGTATCTTGTCCCCGTTCCTATTATTACATCAACTGGAACAATCGGCATTATGAGTACTGACGTGGAGATTACAAAAAAAAAATTATTACTCAGGAAGCATGATTAAAGTTTCTGTGCTAATTGGAACTCCTTCGGATGTTATGCCTTCAAATTTTAGTTTTGTAAAACAGTCAAGGATCAGTTACCAAGTACCCACTCCACACGGCATCAGAGAATGGCATGACCCTTGGGCAATGAAGTAAGGAATGTTTAATGATAATTCAGCAAACTGAATCTGGGAAAGAAAAAGAAAAAAAGGCCTGAACTGAATCAGGGATTCTGTCATCTGGTTTTTGGTTAGTAGTCAAGTGAAGAATATTGCTTTTGCCAATGCCAAAATAGGTTTCACAAAGTATAGTAAACAATAGCTAGTATACCAGACTGCACAAGGAAAAGATGTAGATACAGAATCATGTTTAATTAGGGTTAGAATCATGCAAAACAAAAGGTAGCAACTATATCATTAATCTGGTAAAAGAATCTTACAAATAATTCAAAATTTTGTTATAGAAATTAAACTGAATTAGTAAGTTCAGCCTTGAGTTAACCAATTACAGTTTAGTCAGATTGGGCCAAAAACCCAACAAAAACACACACACAAAATGGCCATCAATTCACAGATGAGAAAATTGTTGAATTAATTAAGTTGCGTTTGATAATATAAAAATGGTGTTTTGAGATTGGAATTCAAGGAAAGTTGGTTGTTTGAACTAATTTTTCCTTAATCCCAAATCCAATGCGCCCTGATTCCATTGTAAAAATAATTCACTTTCACATGAAGAAATAAATAAAATCTTTGATATAACGAATACAATTAGCTCAATTTCCGCCAGCCTCATCCTTTCTCTTCTTTTTTTCAATCAATCATTCGATCCCTACTCCAACTAAAGTACAATGGATTCAATAAATCGCCGACATTAAAATAAATAAATAAGAAAGAAAGAGACTCAGCAATTTGACTAATCAGACAACAAGAATAAGAAGATTGAAAGAAAACCAGTGAACTACCGAAATCATCTATCGGATCAATTTCTCAAAAAATCACTCCTACATCACCATCACGATGTTAACTTGTGAATATCAAGTGAGGCCGACATATACGAACCCTCGTTAAATTGTGCGTGTATATGTAAATAGATAAATCGTAGTACCTGAATCACAGCGGTAAAGATCGCAAACATCACGTACAGATCGATGATCTGCAAGAAGATGATCCAGTTAGCGTTTTGATTTTAACGTACATTTATAAAAATCAACAGAGATCGGGTGCATATAAACTTATAGATATAGAGAGAGAAACCTTGAGGTTTGTGGGAGTGGCGACATAAGCAGAACGAAGAGATTGGATAAGTGCTTGAGCATCCTTTGCCGTCGACGACTTCCCCATTCTTCCACCACCGTCGCTCTGTGTCCTCTCTCTGTGTTATCAATGACAATGGAAGCTATAAGATGAAACCCTCGTTGAAATGAACCTATTCCCGGGTCGTCTTGACTGGTAGGGTACTATCGTTATTTTACAAAGGTGGAGGGTTTTCTTGTAAGGGTAATGAAGTTATGACTTCAAAATCATCTTGACCCCGGGCCCCAAATGACTTTTATTATTAATCTGAGTCAAGTTTAGGGATGGCAACGGGGCGGGTTTGGAGCGGGTTTCCCTAAATCTCGTCCCGTCCCTTTTAATTTTTGTCAAGTCCATACCCGCCCCTAGACCCGTGATGGGTTGAATTTTCATATCCAACCCCGCCCCGTTAGGAAATACTGTGCCCCCGTGCCCGCCCCACTAACAAATTTTTTTCTCCCACTTTTTGGAACTTAAATTCCTGCTATTTAAATGTACAAAGCTTAGGAATGACACAACATAAATAAAATTATGTATTCTAACAAAAAAAAAAAAAAATAACATGCACATAACATAATTCAAAGAACATAATAAACAAAAATAAAAATTTAATACAACCAAATTACAAGAAGTTCTAAGCTCCAACTTCCACCATAACCAAAACAAAAGCAAATTTAATACCAAGTTTACATCCCAAATTAGGATTCTAAGAGATGGGTTGGGTAAGCCGCTAAAATAACTTATTAATATATATATATATATTAAATATAGTTATATGCGGGGCGGGGCAGGGCGGGGTGGGGCGGGGCCCCTAGGATATGTATATTGAACCCTTACCCGCCCCGTGACCCTCGACGGGTACAAAATTTGTATCCATGTCCGCCCCAACGGTATAATAAGTGTTCCCATATCCGTTATTAACGGGGCGGAACAGGGCGGGGCCCCGACGGGGCGGTAAAAATTGACATCCCTAGTCAAGTTCCAGTTCGTCACGTCCGATTCGAATTTAAGTTATCGAATTCCAGTTATTTTGTAAATTCGACTCAGTTATTTTGTAGCCAGTCCACGATATAATACCCTTATGCAATAAAATATTCACAATTCACTATCCTAAAAAAGTAAACCAAGGAATAAAGCATAGAGGAATGATAATGGGGCTGATTTGGGCAGGGGTTTGGGCTAGGGACAGAGCCCTCGTCCCACCCATAATTATTTTAGAAAACTCCCTTGTCCATGCCCCCATTTACTTTTCTACGCACGTATGTACATATAACAATATGTATAAAATTAATGAATAAAGTATATCAACACTTCTTGAGATTTGTCAAAAAAATACATAAGTGAAACTTACCTGAACCCTTGAAGGTTTAAAAATGAACAAAGACACATCCTGACATGAGAAGTTGACCAAATTACCCTTTAACTGTTTAGGGAACTTTTTTAACTTTACAATTTAATAAATTGAACCAATTTACTCTCATGAATAATTTATGCATAAAAAAAAATAAAAAAAAAAATAAAAAAACACTTTCTTCTCTCTCAATACTAAATACCTTCTCTCTCAACGGACCAGACGGGCATTGACAATGGTCTGGACAACGGCCACCGCCTTCTTACTCTTTCTCTTTCTCTCTCTCTCTCTCTCTCTATATATACGGCAACACACTAGCGAGACCCAGAAGCATTCCCAACAGTTCAATCCAACGAGACCTAAAAGCATCGACGACAGTTTTGTCTGCCACCCATACACACCACTCAGCACCACCACACACACCAATCACCACCACCACCACCTCCCACCGAATAAGAGATCTACCACCGCCATCGCCTATCTTCCCCTCCACCGTTCAACTGCCACCACACAAAGCCACACATACATATATATATATATATATTTACACACACACATACAAACACAGAGTGGTTCAAATTACACACATATACCCACAAATTTTTGTATAGTAAAACCCAACAACTTAAAATCCAAACTATGAAATTGGGTCTTTTGATTAGATGCTCAATTGGATAACCCTGCAATTTCTGACAACCACCCACCCAATGCTGTCAACCAATCGTGAATACAAACTCATCATTGAGTTATGTATAAAGATATCGTCACCAAATCCAAATTCAACATGGGCATGAATGTTTTCACTGGTGACATCATCAAGCCTCCCCGTGTCACCTACAAGGCCGAGGAGGCTAAATTAGCAACACTCTAATTTGAGTCCGATTAGAGCCATTTTCGTGCACATATGAGAACTAGGGATGGTGATGTGCGCAGATGAGGATAGTGATGTGCATAGTCATCGTTGGGGGATGCGGTGGCGCTACTCCATGAGAGCAGTGTGGGAAAGCGTGGTGCTTGCAGGGGAGGCTGAGGTGTGGTGGCGGCAACCGCCGACGACCCCTGCCCCGCCGGTGTTGGTGGTGGACTTGTAATATATATATATATATATATATATATATATATATATATATATATATATGCCTATGTATATTGATATATATGTTAGCAGATAGATAGAGATAGGCATAGATGGTGTGATAGGAAGAGAAAAAATAAATAAGGGGCTATTCCATCATTTTGTAAGGTCTGATATTTTGTAATATATTTGAATTTAATATTGAGGGGTAATTTTGTTTTTTCATATGATTTAAGATCTTGTTTGGATGGAATTTCGAGGGGGTGTCATTGTCCAAAAAATAGGTAAGTTTCACCTGTGTGTTCTTTTGGCAAACCTAAGGAGGTCATAGTGTAATTTACCCTAAATTGAATTTACAATGTACTTATGCAATTTTATACATGCATGTATGCCCTTTTAAAATCAATGACAATTATGTAAAATCATCATTTTCATCGCAAAATAAAACAATAAATTAGATAAAGCTGAAATCATAAATTGCAATATCTAAACTAAATCCAACTTTTTAAGGAAACTAACATCGTAAGTCATTAACCAAGAGTTATTCACAACATAAAACGGAGCAAAAACGGCTCAAATTAAGGAAAAAGAATTGGACTTGGTGGCTTAAATCCAAAAACGTTTATGGGATTGATCTTCGTTGAAGAAAGCAGATATGAGGTAATAATGAGAAGCTATGAGTAAACTAAGGTCAATGTTATTTTTGTGCATGTAATAAAATATTAAAGGTGTTAGCATAAAATTACATAATACGCAAGAGCAAGGCAAGGTGACATTTTATTCGTCCAGGCCTTGCATTTGTGCGGGTTTTCACCCTATCCCAACCCAATTCCTTTAAATGGTTTTAAATGGTCCCCAAAACCATTTTAAATGAGGTAGGATGGGTACCCGCTAAATTGTCATCCTTATTTGATGCATGATAAATAAATGGAACTATTGTCATGTTTTCACTTTAATTATATATTAAGTTCAAACAATACACTTTGCTTTTCTTTTCACGGAAAAAACAACTATTGTAATTCAAGTAGGACTACATTGGAGATTGGTGTTGAGTCCATGCCTAGTTATGCAATTATTAGACGAAATAACGTAATAAAATCAACAAAACATCAAACAGTGTATGTTATTTGTGGATGACAATCATGACATAATCTTAGTAAGTACCTTAGTTTTAAAAATAATAATAATAATCTTAGCAGATACCTCTAAGAAAGCCTTAGAAACAAAATTAGAATTATGAAATACATTAGAATCAAAAGATTTCAAAATTATAAAAACTAAAACAAAATATATGGAATGTAAATTTGATAAAGTAACAAATGATGACAAAATAAATATTAATTATAATTTAAGACCAAATAATTACTCAAAATAACTATTTCATTACGTTCAGTATTACAAGAAGATGAAGATAATATTGATGGTGATATAGTAAATATGATCCGAGCAAGGTATACAAAAGATATAAAGTTAGTGGTATTTTTACAAATGAATGCCCAATAAATTAAAAGGAAAATTCTATAAAACACTATTAGACTGGCTATATTGTATGAAATAACTAGATAATTGGGTGTTAAAAAATGTACAATAACAAAGTATTCAAGTAACGAAAATGAGGACGCTACGTTGGATGTTATGAGTTTTAAAAAAATATAAGATTAATAATGAACGTGCGAGGGGAATATTAAATAGTGCCTATTACTGATAAAGAAAATAAACTTAGGTGGTAAGACCATGTTTATCATAAATACAATTATATATCGATTATGAAATAAAATAAAACTTAAGAGAATACATGGCATATAATATAAAATAATAAAAATAAAAAATTATATCGCCCGCTTGATCAATACTAAATAAAAATAAGGATGATGATAATCACTCCTATTTGTTTTTCTCTCGTTACTTTTTCCTCTTCTTTGTATTTTTCCCTCGATATTAACTTTGCTATCACTTGCACTTATAATATTGACAAATTTAACAAATTTGGAAGGATTTATAAAGTACTTTTATTCTAAATTGATTTCGTCAAAATAAGTCAATATTACAAACCAATTCAAAGTTGAGACAGGTTTATGTTAACCGAGAGAGAATTAGTAAAAATGGAGATATAACGAGAGCTTAGTGTACTCCACCAGATTTTTTAATCGCCATCGATGTTGTCCACCACCACAACAAATTCGTAACTGCCTAATGTTACTACTTTCCACCATAGAATTAGGATTATCGTCATGTGATGCGACCCGTGCGTATACACAACCCTTTGAGTTTGGAAATTAGTGTCAAGTGGACATCATACTTTAAATTTATAAACTCTTTAACACCTATATAATGTAGTATGAATGATAAGGGATCAACTCAAGAGATTTGCAAGGTACTACGGAATCAAAGTTGGATTAGTAGGTCGAATAATCAAAGTGAATGGTTTGTTGGTTGAATTAAGCTATGATTAATTAAAAATAATGCAATGAAAAACAAGCTAAAATAAAATGAGGGGTAAAGAATGAGAGAGTGATCTTGGGACATAGAGTTTACCACTACGCTTTACCTCACTAAACAACTAATACTTGTTAATTTAGGGGGATTAAATGTTGTAAATCAAGAGTGTGCGCTATTAATTGTAATACTAAGTGTAGATGGCAAAATAAGCATACATTGTCCAATCAATTTAGTGAGTAGCACAACCTATCAAATTAAGCTATTAACCATTCAATAAACCCACAATCAAAACACACACAAAAATCTAGAGAAATACACTACTTGCACTTATAAGCATGGACCACCAAACAACAAGAATGGATTGTCTACCTATCCAGAAAATTAAAGTTACTATGTTACAATTACACTAATGACAAGGAAGTTAAACTACTTAAACTAATGAGATAGCATAATCCATCAAGGAATAAGTATAGTCCATCAAATAAAATACAATAATAATCAATTAAGCACCATGGATTGACCAATACTAGATCCATTATTTTAATACACATAGACATGCACCAAATGCAAAGAATCAAATGTGAGCACATAATCATCCATTCCATCACACATAGATATATGAACAAAATTGAAAGATTAATTGGAAATATTAAACCATACAAATCATGTGAAAACAAAATTTATATAAACATGAGATCAATACAATATTTACAACACAAATCCCCACTAATTACAAAATATTAAGGTTTAGGAAGCAAGCCTAGGGCCATCTCTAGCCCCAAGAGAATGATTTAGCCACTCATAGTTGTTGTCATCCAACCTTCAAGGGTTTTTTTCATAGTTGGATTCATCTTTCTCCTCTTGGTGTTCATGGTAGAAACCCTAATAATTGGAAGAAGGAAAATGACGAGGGGGCCGAAGGGTAACCCCGAAAAAATGACCGAATCTAACGTAATCAAGCCACGTTAGATTCTCTAAAAAATCGTGAAGAGTAAAAGAGTCATCACGTGCTTAGGTCACCCCAAAAATAAATTTAAAAAAATAAATTGTTTGAGAAGAATATAAGGAAGGTAATTGAGCCATGGACACTGTGAAGATGAACTGAAGAAGGTGGGTATATACAAATATATATATATATACACACACACACACACACACACACAATTACATATATGTTGGTAATAGATCATAAATATTCAAAGATTTTTTTCTACAAATTTCTCAATAAATTTAGGTATTACTCAATGATCTGATTTTAAGAATTACATGTTCATATTGTATTCGAATCACACACAAAAAATCGGGATTTCATAACATCACTCTTTGATTTGGGATTGGCTCTCTCTCTCTATCTAAGGTTTTGAATCATTTTTCTTCTCCAGGAGCAATTCAACCAGTACAGTGATTTAATTTGATTTAACAAGATAAAGATAAGTTAATTCCTTAAAAAAAGATAAAGATAAGTTATCTATAATTTTGGAGACTTCTGAGTTCTCCGGTATTTTTTTGCACGATATACAATCACGTTCCCACCTTTTATTATTATTATTATTTCTTTTACTTGCACGTGATGGGCTCTTTTGCTCCCTCACGCAAGAGGAGTGAGAATCTGACGTGGCGAAGCCACGTCAAGTTCGGTGATTAATTCGAGGGATATATTTCGGTTCCCTATCATTGCTCTTGGAAGAATCCTAAAAAAAAATGTGTATATTCTCTCTTTGTAATCCCTAGCTAATATCTAACTAACCAACTTCTTTACTAAAAATAGTCCAATTCCTTATACAGGTAGCTCAAATGTCACTCCAAATGGTCAGACCTCGTGCACTAGGACCTCCAAATGATTGCACCACGAGCACACCTTCAATTAGGCTTGAAATCTGTTTTGCACGAATTTTGAGGCAGTTCGATCGATCACACTGTTGCTTCGATCAATCGAATCATGGCGACACAATTATTTGGATAAGGACAAAGGCTGAGATATTTATGGAAAAAAAGGACAGAAATGGTAATAAGAATAAGATCAAAAGGTTCGATTAATCAAATAGGAAATTTTCCCGAGGGTAAGGACAAGGGTTCGATCCATCACGGCAAGGTTGGAACGATCACAGTGTGATTGATCGAAAAGGGAATTTTCACCACTCTGCTTCCACTTTGGTCCTTCTTTCCACTAGACTTTTATTTGCTTATTCCAATTCTCTAATTCAGCTGATTTGACTTATTTTGGGGATAAACACCTAAAAAGAAGAAAAACATGAAATTAGACTAATTAACGGGGAAATAAGATAGAATAAGATCTTAGTATACTCAAGATAAATGGTTTATATGCGCCTCTTTCAGTGCTTATCACCACGATCACCATCCATAATAAAATTAGGGTTACATTTCTCTCATCCTCATAAACTCAGCCCTTAACCTTACCAAATCTAAAACCCAAAACCTAATAGAGCCCAAAAGTATTTCGTGTTGGACAAAATTATAATTTATTTTAGTTAAAAGACTTGTCTAACAAGTAATTACTTAATCAAAATTAATGGTTGTGAATGATAAAATATGGGGAAAAAGCATTACGAAAAATAAAATATATATATGAATTTTTAAAAACTAAATGGAGCGAATCTAGAGTGAAACTGGGTTTGGCATACATTATCAAATTTGTTCGGATCTCAATTGAAAAAAACCTAGTTTTTTTTTCCTTTAAGAGTGGAATTGGCATGTGCTCGTTGACGTGAGCCAAATTATTAACTCCAATTTTATTTAGTTTGGACCAAGTTTAAGCGTAAACAAACTAATTTAAATCCAGCTAAATTATTTAATTATGAGTTTAACCCAAATTTTCACCAACTTCACACCCACATATAATTAGATGTAAATTACATTTACAATATAAATTGTCTTTCATTTTATTTTAAAAATATAATTTCTCATACATTAATTGTTTTTTGAAAATAGGAGTAATTTATTGATAAAGATGCCTATTATTAATTTTTGCCAGTTGATGGTTTACAGTAATTCTTTAGAAAGAGTTTCACACGTATGTCACACAAGATATTACTTAATACAGAATATATGCTACATTTGACTATTCACGGACCAAAAGTTTTCAGGGCACTTCCAACACGAGATTCCTCCTTGTGAGGCGGTTGTGTTTTCACCGCCTTCTGATTTTTATTCGATCAATTGACTAAAATACCATCCATCTTATTGGGATCCCCATTCCCGACTGCGTTTTAAAATCTCCCAAATGGACATAACCGTCAAAGTACTTTTATTCGCTGACGTACTATTCAAGAAAAAGAAAAAAAGAATAAATGAAAATTAAAAGAGAACAGAAATCCCCATTTCACCGCTCCGGACGACGCAGGGTTTGAACGACGGCGAGTAGCAAGAAGAAGGAAAACCATTCGTCGACTCGTCTTTCTCTAACATCCATGTATAATTGCTTCTCTCTCTCTCTATGTATATACATATATACATATAATCTATACGTTTTTAGTTTTCTCTATTCGCATGTGTGTTGATTTTAGAGACAACTGTTCCACGGATCTCTGTGTTTTATACATGTCTGAGAAATTTCTGCTTTAGTTTTCTGGATAGTGAAATTGATCTCCCTCAATTCGTCGATAATTCTATAGTTATGTTCAATTTAGCGTTGCTTAATGTAATGAGAACTCTGGAGAAAAGATGCTTTTTATTATTTTTTTTTTCCAGCATACTGTGTGGCTTATCATGCCCTTTCCCTTTTAGAGTGTCAGATTTTTATTTTATTTTTCAAAATTTTTATACTGCTGAATAGACCATGTGTTGAAGTGCTGAAATTTACATTCTTTTTTGCGGAGTATGCATTTGAAGTATAGAACTTTTGCTGTCAAAATGTTGTATTCCCAGAAGAGGGTGCTTTGGGTGGAATCTTATTATTATGATTATTTTTTGATAAGTAAGTGCTTTGGATGGAATCTTATGTGGGTTTTCCTTCGGGGTTTTGTTTTTGGCTTCCGAAGACAATACCTGTTGGAATGTGTATCTTAACATGTCCTTATCTAACAGCTTTAAAAAATTTGCAATAATTTTACTATTACATAGATATACTTTAATTATCGTGTGTGTGTTTTGCTTCAGTAAGTCAAGTGTCTTGCTGGGCATAGCAAATTTCATTCTTATACAGCTAAATGGAACCACAAACAATTCCTCGGGAACATGATTTTTTTGTATTCGACCTTGTATAATTTATGCATGCATGCAAACAAGTTTATGAATGATGTCTTATAATTTGGGGGTTCGTTCACTTTAGTACTTAATATGAGGCTGCATTATCATAAACAAGTGTATTAACTATGATGTCCTTTTAATTTGGGAGGTCTTTGACTTTGTCACTTCCTATCAAGTTACATTAATATCTTACTCACTCACTTTTGAGGCACATTTCATATTTAAGTAGGGCATAGCATGCTTGAATTGAAATGGTGAATTCACTAGTTCTTGTCACAGGGATTCACAGTTGACTCTCATGCTGTTCATGGAGTGTTTAGGGCTTATTTAGTGCCCTTTGTTTTGTTCGATATTTTAATGAAATTCATCAAACATTTATCATCGAATTTTTCATAGCATGTGTTGTATCAGCTGTTGTTTGTTATTATTAATTAGTTGTTGTCGTGGCTGTATCATATTGTGCACCTAAGACTCTCTCTTTTTCTTAGAAGTAAGTAGAACTGACACACATACATAAAAGAAGCATATATTTTAAAAATCATTGAGGATGCAAACTCATGTGATTCGCCCAAATTAGTGGGTGCTCAATCTCTCTGTATGCGTATTCATGATTTGAGAGCGACCGCGCCTACGGTTTCTGTAGTCATATATATTGAGTTTGTGGATTGAGTAACAGTAATATTGGGATTTCCCGGGTTGAATGCATGATTTCTAATATAGTTTACATATATTGAGTTTGTGGATTGAGTAACAGTTATATGGGGATTTCCCCGGTTGAATGCACGTTTTCTAATGATCGTTTACTTATAAAAAAAAGAGTAACAGTAATACGGGGATGAAACATTTTTTACAATTCAAAACTGTAAGAGGCTGCCACATGTAATACGTAAGATAACGTCTATGGTCCTGTGCATGTTCTGCTATTTTGCATATACAATATACAATATGCGATAGTGAGATATTTATGGCTTGAACTCAAGATCAACTGATAGGGTAATCAGGACACTTAACCTTGGACCATTTTTTTTTGATAAGTTCTTAACCCTGAACCATTTATTATTATTTTTTGGTAAGTTCTCAACCCTGAACCATTTCATTTGAACACATGATAACGCTTTTTTCATTAAGTTTTGTTGTTTACATTAAAACATTATTGACTAAACATATTTTGCACATATATTGGTACGAGTGCACGCATATTTGTATAATGCTTTATTATTATTATTTTTTTTGATAAGTAATAATTGATTAGAAGAGCGTTCAAAAGGGGAATGCGTCCCTAATACAAAAAACGAAAGCTGAACCTAAGGGCCCATAGAGTCCAAAAGATCAACTAAGTTAGCGGTAGAGGAGCAAGTTCTTCCTTTCACATGGCAAAAAATAGAGCGAAGAATATGAAGTTTCAAGGTCGCCAAAAGCGATTCATTTCCTTCGAAAATTCTGCTATTCCTATCTTTCCATATACACCACCAAACACAGTGTGGAACTATCCTCCAACAATCGCTAGCGTGACTTTTCACTTGGCATCCTTTCCATGCGTTAATCAGACATTTGGAAGACTGAGGCACTACCCAATGCATGCTAAATAAGCCGAAGATGAGGTTCCAACAATTGTACGCCATAGGATAGTGCATAAGAATGTGATCCACAGACTCATCATCTCCTTTGTATAGACAACACCAATTAACAATAGTATTGCCTCTCTTCCTCAAATTGTCCAGTGTCAAGATCTTACTCCAGACGACAGTCCAAACAAAGAATGCCGCTCTAAGTGGAGCCTTGGAGCGCCATATAGTCCTCCATGGGAAAACAGGACTAGTTGGAAAGGCATAGAAACATGGACCGGACATCAAATCTTCCATGGGAGGAAGGAACCCACAAAATGTCATCACTACCTCTGCCAACTGCCTCCTGCCGATACAACATATCCAGAAGGGCACATGCCTCATCCATCTCCCAATCCTGAAAAGAACGCCTAAAGCGCACATTCCACATAGTCTCATTGCTATCAAGCTAAAAACAGTTAACTACATAGGCGTGTCTATCGGCGACTATACTATAAAGTTTAGGAAAGGAGCAAGACAACAGCTAATCTCTACACCATAAATCCTCCCAAAATCGGACACATCTACTATCGCGAACCTTGAATCTGATATGGGAAGAGAAGGCATCCCAACCCTTCCAAATGAATTTTCACGCGCCAACGCCTCCCGCGATAGAGACTGGACGGGAAGACCAACCACCACTCTCCTCCCCAAAACGACACTAAACAATCCTTCTCCACTAGTGATGTCGTTCCCTACCGAATCTCCACAACCACTTTCCCAATAGAGCTCTATTAAAGGGAACTAACTTTCGGATACCTAGACCGCCTAGCTTCAAGGGCTTGCCGACTTGCTCCCATTTGATGAGATGATACTTGCACTCCTCTCTCCTTCCACCCCAGAGAAAGTCCCTTTGAATCTTTTCAATCCTTTCGGCGATAGAGCATGGGATTTGGAACAGAGATAATAAATAAGTGGGGAGGCACAAGAGAGTGCTCTTTATAAGAGTGACCTTCTCCCCCTTCGACAGATATTGCTTCTTCCACCCTGCCAACCTCTTCTCAAACCTATCAATTATAGGATCCCAACTCCCCACCCTCTTAGAGGAGACCCCAAAGGCAGTCCCAAATAAGGAATAGGAAAACCCACCCCAGACCCAAGAATTGCAGCTAAGGAGGAAATATCCTGAACATTCCCAACCGGGACAAGCACACTCTTGCCAACATTGACCTTCATCCCAGAAACCGCTTGGAAACAAACAAGAATGCACCTCAAATATCTAAGTTAGGAAACATCGGCGTCACAAAAAACCAAGGTATCGTCCGCAAACAGCAAATGGGAGATCTTCATTTGATGAGCTAAATCTCTGCCCACTCTGAAACCCCTGATAAAACCTAAATCCTCCGCTCTCCTCATTAGTCTGCTCAAACCCTCTATGACGATGAGGAAGAGAAAGGATGACAAGGGGTCTCCTTGTCTCAAACCTCGAGAACTCCTAAAGAAACCAGCAGGAGAACCGTTCACGAGAACAGAGAACTTGACAGATGAAATACATGTCTCGATCCATTTCCTCCACCTACTTCCAAACCCCATCCTCTGAAGCAAGTAAAGAAGGAAACTCCAATTGACATGATCATAAGCCTTTTCAATATCAAGTTTGCATAAGACGCCAGGGACCCCACTCCTCAACCTGGAGTCCACACATTCGCTTGCTATAAGAACAGAATCTAGGATTTGCCGTCCTCCGACAAAAGCATTCTGGGATTCCGAAATAATTCCATCCAAAACATCACTCATCCTAAGAACAAGAATCTTGGCAATGAGCTTGTAAATGCATCCCACTAAGCTAATTAGCTGAAAGTCCTTTATATCAGAAGCGCCGCCCTTCTTAGGAATAAGGCAATAAAAGAGGCATTTAATGACTTCTTGAAAACGCCACGAGAATGAAATTCCTGGAAAGTACCCATCACCTCACTTCTCACCACCTCCCAGCTCTCCATCAGAAACCGCATGGTGAACCCATTTGGCCCCAGAGCTTTGTCACCGTTGCAGCTCAATAAGGCCTTCAACACTTTTTCTTCAGAAAATGGGACCTCAAGACCATCTATATCCAACTCAGAAATAGCATCAAAATGGAGACCGTCAAGCCTAGGTCTCCACTTTAACGTCTCGGTGTAAAGCTTCTGGTAAAAGGAAATGATCCTCCTGCGCACCTCATCCTCTCTCCACAGTTCCAAACCATCCACACGGATTCGCCCAATATGATTACTCCTTCCATGAGCATTAGCAAGCCTGTAAAAGAATTTCGTATTACGGTCCTCTTCTTTGAGCCATAAGGCCCGAGATATCTGGCACCACGAAATCTCCACCATATTAGCAATCTCTGCAAAAACCGCCTGGCAGGAAGCTCTCCTAGAGCGCAGAGACTCCACATCCTGTCCCAACTCTGCATTTTATATATATGTAATTTATCAATATGGTCATACACCTTATGTGATAAGTACATATTCATGCAGCATAAAGACGTGCTCACTATGAACAATTTTAGATTTTGACACTCTTGCTTCAGCTCGCGCTCCTGCTCCCGCTTCTGCTTTTGCTTTGTGACTTAGGGCACACATTTGTTAATGTCTCCAATACATATCATAAAAATTAGAGATAAAAGTGATTTTTTTAATTT